GATAGTCAATATTTTCTGAGATAGTTGTCGCAAAGGATTCAATAAATAATGGAGAAATGAGAAAACCTGTGGCGGAGAGAAAGTGTGTCTAGCGTAGGTGGCTGACGCAATACTTGTATGCAAGTACATAGAGAGAAGAGAGAATAAATGAAACGAAACATATATTTTTGAATAGCTTATTGATTGTTATTTTAGTATTGTGTGAGATCAGTGCCAAAAAAATAATTTAAACTAACCATTTTTCTAGTCCGCTCAATATATCGGTGGTCATTCAAAAATATATATCCGCTCGAGTATATATAAAAAACCTCTCCAGGCCGGCACTTTCTTTTGTCTCCCCAGAAAAGTCCTTCTCCCTTCTGGAAAGTTCAAGTACATTTCTGTCTGTTATCGTGGGTTATGGTTTACAACATTCCCGAACACACGGTGTGTAGAAATGTAGTTGTAGTGTACTATCGGGGCAGTTGCCCTCCGTTGGATGAAGCAAGATGTTCGCTGCCGTATTGTTTATATTTATAGGCACAACTCATGAAACGTTTATTACTTGTTTTACATTTACTTCGTATTTTTTTATTCGCGAGAATATCTGCAATAACAAAAAAAAAAAGTAAAAATAAAGAAAACGGGAAATATTATTTGGTTCGTGTCCGTTCATTGAAACCTCTTCTGGCAGTTTTCCAGAGCGTATAATGACTCACACTGGCTCGTAAGGAAAGTTGCCAAAAGACCATTCGAACAGCCTGGAATAACGTTGATAATAAAAAAGAAATGAAAATAAGCATAGAAAGAAATACGAAAAGAAAGATAAACAGAAAGAAAAGTTTGTTGGCACTAACATCTATGTCAACGGTTGTCTAGTTAAAGCCCGAAAACACGTGCTTAAAGATGCCATGAACACCTCAAAGGTTAGTATTCACGATAACATCTAAACAGGACAACGACAACTCTATATGAACATCTTTACAAGAAATATACTATTTTGTTTCCAGTTTTCGCATGCAGTATCGCAGAAATAATTTTTAAAAAATCTTTTTTTTCCCCTAGATTTAAACTTTTCTTTTGTTCTTTATTATTTCATATCTTCAAGTTGCTCAACGTTGTTCCAAGTACTTGAGTGAGGTATTAAACTAACCGTTATTTTATAATACAGGACTGAATCTTTCGAATTAATTACATTAAAAAAAACCTCAAATATAAAGCCCTATCGACAACTTACCTAAACTTCGTGCGAAAAAAAAAAGACACTGATTATTAGGAGCTTATGAAGAAAAAAGCAATCTGTGGGTAACAAATTTATGAAGTGCTACGTTTTCGCTTGAGTAGCCATTATGTATCTCAAGGCCTCATACTTCTTGCTGCAAAACTCACAGAATATTTGAAAGCTTCCTCGACTAGCTACGTTTTAAGACCAATTAACTTATTTGTTTAAGAAGTGGCAGCTGTAAACTATAATCAAAAACAGCTCCCGTGGTAAATATCTGATATTAACGAGAAAATAACGGTTATAAAAATTTTCAGTTCCTTAACCTCAGGCAAGAAGTTTTCAGGAAATAGAAGCAGCTTGGAAGGCCCATAAAGTCTCTAAGATGTTATGTTGTTTGAGGTTTTGCACAGCTTTGAAAATAAATTTCCGTTACACAAAACTAAACGTTCAGAGCTCTGAACATATGAAGGTCAAGCGGATAAATTTTATTCTTATAATTTAAAGTTCTTCAAGGAAATCAAGCCAATCGCATTGATTTATAAAGTAATTAGGACAAACAATTGTTTTTACAAAGTGATGTTTTATGTTTGTATAAAAGCTAATAAAGTGCTCCTATTTTTCTCTAATTTTTAGCAGTATTTAATAATCAAGAACCTAACAAAGGAAACTAGTGCAGCAAGTGGAAATTCGGGCCAGTTGGTTTATAATCATAACATAAAGTGCCAAAAAAAAAACAGCAAAAAAAAAAAACAAAAAAACGACAGGACAAAGAGGAGAGTAAACAGGACGAAGCGCACTCGCAACTAAAGTTTATTATGAAAAAACACATAATATATGGGCCGTTAAAAACGCCTATTCATCACATCAATCGATAAGACCCCTTGACTTGATAAAATCAAACTCTTTCCTTGAGAGGGCAAGGGAAGGTTTACTGACGCATTCTCAAACGCCCTCGTGCACTTCTCGGCATATTTTATCTTTATATTTCACCAGAACCTTCACATCATGCAGAACTGGTGAGTACGTGCACCGACTACCAATGAACAGCTAGATTACCAGACGGGCTTGCTCTCATAGCTGCCGCATGTTCCCGGGCACGATTATTGACACATCTACCAGTCTGGCGGATGCACACGGAGCCGCTAGTCAGCGGAAATTCGTACACCACTCCGACGGCACACTCAGCATATTTGGTCATTTGGTCCGGTGTTCTGTGCTGCAATGCTCCATATCTGGCAGGGGATTATTAATTCTGTGGCACAGGCGTGCTTTTTTTCCGGGGCTGAAAACACTACGGGTACTCTAAACCGCTGTGCAAATTTCCTTAAATTATGGGACATAGCATGCAAGTACGGAATAATTATCGGTCTTATTTTGGCTTCTCTCTTGCCCGATTAGTTGCCCCTTTAAATTTTAACAATCCGTCCGTAACCTCAGTCGGGCATCTTTGCCTCACTGAGGTTGCAGAAAAAATGGCACGCCTGTGCCACAGAATCAATAATCCCCAGCCACACATGGAGCATTGCAGCACAAAACACCGGACCAAATGACCAAATATGCTGAGTGTGCCGTCGGGGGAGGCACTCGCTTGATCGAATGACGTTTTAGCGAATGCCCACGTTTCACCGAATGACACTTTAGCGAATAGTCGGACGCCGCGAAGCGGCGTTTTCGGGTGGACCAAGTGGGTTCGCATTTTTGTAATGAGCCGCCGCAGACTGTCGCCACGAGGCGGCGTAAAGCGCAGCGCAGCGGATGGGTTAACGCGCGCCCCCGTTATTCGCTAAAACGTCCATTCGCTCAAATGTCGCTGTTCGCTAAAACGACATTCGCTCATGTGATATGGACCCGATCGTGCACGGGAAGATGCGGCAGCTATGAGAGCAAGCCCGTGTGGTAATCTAGCTGTTCATTGTAGTCGGTGCCCGTGCTCACCAGTTCTGCATGATGTGAAGGTTCTGGCGAAATATAAAGATGAAATATGCCGAGAAGTGCAGGAGGTGTTTGAGATTAGGGCAAAAAGAGACGAATGCGTCAGTGAACCAATTCCCTTGCCCTCTCAGAGAAAGAGTTTGATTTTATCAAGGTGTCTTATCGATTGATGTGATGAATAGGCGTTTTAACGGCCCATATATTATGTGTTTTTTTCATATTTAACTTTAGTTGCGAGTGCGCTTCGTCCGGTTTACTCTCCTCTTTGTCCTGTCGTGTTTTTTTTTTTGTTTTTTTTTTTTGGCGTTTTATGTTATGAAGCTATACTTCGTTTCATCCTACGATGGACTAAAGGCGAAAGCCACGGGCCGCCAGGTCCAATGACGTTCCACGCTATAATATGACACGCTTAACTTTGATTAGGGGTGGACGAATAATGCTGGAACCCAAAAGCGCCGCATCATTTCTATAGCTTAGATGCTGCAACGAGCCTATATCGGGCTTTCTTTGCGATCTAAAATTGTTGAGTCACTCAGTGCTCTTCGATTCGAACCCATTGTCCACCCCTCCCGTCATCAGTGATCCGAGACGGGGGCACCGATACGTGCATCGAAGCGAATGACCGCACAATTTCTAAGTGGCTCGTGATTGGATTTAGCGGCTCGAAGCTTTTGCCTTTAGTCTATCCTAGGGTGAGAAGAAGTATAGTGCGATTGTTGACAGCATGGTTCTTTGCAATGTACCAGACCTTATTCACGAAGTAAGGCATTCTATGGTCTGTGTGCGATGACAAATCTATCTTTCGTGTCGAAAAAGCAGAGCCACTCTTACGAGGAGCCTTATAGTACATCTGACGCCTTAAATGCCAGAAAATATATTCAAGTCAATGATCAATTATCATAACTACAGCTATAGACATAGAATGTTGTGCACGTGACGCAACTTTGCTTCGATAAAAAATATACTGCAATATGTCTCGGTAATATTTACTAAAACAATGCAGTCAGTAAAAAAAGGCACCACAGAGTTGCGAGTCGACAAATCACAGCTTATTTGTATTTAATTCAAAAGATTCAGAAAATGCAAATTCCTTCGATACAGAAAAGTAACGAACTGGTGCCTTTAGAAGCATCGATCACCCAAAACGCTTCGCAGTCTAATGTTGGATAGTTTCGATTAACATGTTATCCAACCTCAATAGACGCACAGAATCAGCCTTGCGTAAAATAAGCAATACGAAAACACGGCGCGCGTAAAGGAGGTACCAAAGAAGAGTGCTGAAGCCCACAGAAAACCAAACATTTAAACAGTTAATTGAAGAAATAAACGCTCACATATACAGCCACCAAAAAAGTAAGGCGAAAAAAGACTGCTTCACAGTGTCACCAAGTTTAAGGACTGAACCCAAAGCAACATAGCGAAAAGCGTAAAACAGCGTTTCGCGCAAAACGAAGTTCAAAGACCAGGGAAATCACAAGTGAAAACGTTACGAAACTTCGTTTCCGGAGAAAAAAAAAAGCAACAGAAATGTGGAATTAACTACATTTAAGCAGCCCGATCTGCTTGAACCTATAACAGAACCAAGTGACGTATCGGTGTACAACGCCTCGTATATTGTGGGAACGTTGCTGAGGCAATGTTCCCATTGAAATCACGGAAAGCCCTCATGAGTTTAAAGGCAACGCTGGCTCCCGATAGACAACCGACGCGTTTCGAAATCCAACAAGCATGTTTGAGCTGTTAGGAACGCCTTGTGAATGCTAATGGCTACGAAAGCGAGATGACAAAACGACGCCCATTGAGGAGGTGTCTTCGATGACGCAATTCTAATCGACTACGAGGAGCTCATAAAGGAGCACCGAGCACTCACCAAACACGTTTGTGTGCCTGACAGCAACCTAGGATCGACCACCTTGGACGCGGTAAGCAGTGTATTTATTGTATTATCGACAGGAATGGTTTTGTAAAGCAGATGTACGATAAAGTTAACTACTCTTTATTATATTTTATTTTAAACATGTAACCTAAGCAAACACACAGAAAACAATTTCATGCGCTTCGAAAAAAAAATATAGCTAAAATGTTCAGCTTATTTTAAGATTTTAGAGGTAAGAACAAGACGAAGTATACTCTCACTACCGTAAAACAATAGAGCTGTTTCGACAAATAGGCAGCATCGCCGAAGATGTCAAACATGTCTCAGAACGCAAAACGACAAATCCTATGAAAGGGTTAGGCACAAGTGTAACCTAATCTGAAACAGATGGCTTTGTTAAGGAATACTATCATATTGGCCTAAAAGCCTCGTAACTTTAATTTTATACTATGGAATAGCTACATCTATCCATAATGTGTGTATTGAACCATTTTGCTCCCGTTATACCACGCGACGGTTATCTATTTTTGTACTAATTACCGAAGTACTTGATGAATTGCTACTTTAAAATTTTTGTTTTAGGCTTTAAGACACAGCTTTTGTCTCTATCTTGTAAACGTACTTTGTTTAGCTTTATCCTATTTTTAGAAGAGAATTACGAGCTGGAACGCATCACCATGTTTTATGTATTTCTCAGCCACAAGAAGTCCGTAGCGCTCACTGCCTACCCGTATTAAGGCGACATTTAGAGCAGTTAGAAGATAAACAAGCGCCTCAAAACAGGGACAAGGATCAAGACAATACGGAGCACTACTGAAAACTGGATATTATAGTACAAAATACATCTCATGGGGCTCTCAGCAGAGGGAAGTGCATTTTTAATTAGAAAGGTGCAGCGACAGTGCACTTACGCCAGTTGGTCCCCCTTCATTTCCTTACGTTATATGGTCCAAACGTTTCTCTCTCAGCTTTAATTTTAAGTTTTTCTAGTATTTTTGTTTCTGACAGATTTAGATAACATGGGCATCTGTCGCAGTGCGTGGCGAGATTCCAGAGGGGAAGTTCCTGACAGACAATGCATGCTCGCGTGTGCTGTCATTGAAACACTTCCCCGTCTGCCTCACATACACCTTGCCACAAGTCATTGAGATTTCACACACCATTGACGTAGCACATTTAATGAACTGAGTGGCGTGTTCTTAATTTAGTTCTTAATTCTGTGTCGCTAATTCTTGCGCAGGAACCGGACAGCTTTGACAGGGTTGAAAAAACATCGCGCACCTCAAAGTGTGCGCAACTCTCAGATTGTGCAAAAGCCGATGAATACGCGATATGATCACCATTGTGGTCTTCTTTCCAGGTGCAGCAGTCTCTTTTTCCACTTTTCTTTTAAGCTTTCACGTGAAAGACTTTGAGACCTCTGCCTAGAAATAGTCAGGATATCCGGCGGATTTCAGGCGGACCGCCTGGTCGCTGAAGCTGTCGCTCATGTCATGCTTGCAAGACTTGTCAAGGGAAGCTTTCATCAAAAACAAGGCGATCTCTCTTTTTACCTGTCTAGAATGTGCAAACATGGTCTTTTTCTTTCTCAAAGTGCGGGAGCAAATCTATAAACTGCAATTCCCCTGATATCATGGTTTGATGGGTAAAAGTTAGCCGATGCGATTTGGAAGAAACCACTCGTAGTGCTCCATTTATTAGCTCTTCGTTGCAAATATGCCACTGTTCCACTGGCACCAGAAAATCATCTACACATATGAATGTCTTACATATGGCAGAAACGCTCATTGTCTCAAAAGTTCCCCCATCACACTCCGCCAAAAAGAAATGTCCCATAAAAGCGGTGCCACCCACGACTCTATGAAATCACTCGCCTCTGAACGCATATATGTCGTTTGCCAACGACACAAAGGTTGAGCTAATTACAAAAACCACATTTTCATGAACGAGTCACAACTCACACCATTTGAGTTCCTAATAAAAATATCGTCGCTCTCCTCAATGCACCGTCTGACCCAATCAACAATTGGGCATGGGGGATAGACCAAAAACATATCTTCCACGTCCACTCACAAACCGCGGCGGTGGAGCAGCATGCCTTCTGTTAAATGAGAGCGGAGCGTCACATTGGTTCGGTTAACGTCCTAACATTTTTTCTGGTTACCCCAGGCACAGCGAGGTTGCCCGGACAACAGCCAAGATGAACCTAACGTTGAATCCCATCACGTTTCTGAGCGAGATACAAGAGATGGGGGATCCCAGGACCAGGAACTACCCCGTAATCATGAACCCGCTCTTCGTCTTTCCACTCATTGCTTCTTACCTGTACTTCGTTAAAGTGGCCGGTCCCAGGTGGATGAAAAACAGAGAACCCTTCGAAATCACCAACATCATACGCGTGTACAACCTCGGCATGGTGGCTCTCAACGCGAGGTTCCTCTACATTCTTCTCAAGAAGACGTACCTACCAGGAGGACACTACAGCCTCTGGTGCCAAGGGATCACCGGATACATGGACGAGGAGATGAAGGGATACTACGAAGGTGGTTGGTTCTTCGTAGCCGTGAAATACATCGACTTTCTGGACACTGTGTTCTTTGTGCTCCGAAAGAAGTTCACGCACATCACGCATCTGCACGTCATCCACCACACCATCGTTGCACTTAACGTCTGGTACTGGGGTCTGTTCGCTCCGGAGGGACAACCGGCTCTGGGACTCGGCCTTAACGTGTTTGTGCATATCGTTATGTACTCGTATTACTTTCTAGCAACGTTGGGTCCAAGTGTGCGTAAATACCTCTGGTGGAAGAAGTACCTCACCAGACTGCAGATCGCCCAGTTTGTCATCATCATCCTTCATTTGTCCATTCCTCTCTACGTAGACTGCGGCTTCCCGAGGTACCTCGTTTACCTGGGAAGCGCTCAGACTTTTCTCATACTGTGCCTTTTTGTAAACTTTTACATTCAAGCGTACATTAGACGAGCAAATCCTGCCGTGAAGAGTGAACGTGTCGCGAACGGTAGTAAACCCGGCACCTCGAAACAGGACTAGAACTGAAGATGTTAAGCTTATTAGTTCGTTAAAGTTTGATGTCCAGAAAAAGTTTACTGCTCAGTAGCTTCTATGTTAGCCTACAGATGAATGAAAGTGGGAACGACTAGGTTTAGTAATTGTTTTTTTTTTTTTACTTTTAATATTTTTAAGGCATTTCCAGAATTAGGAAAGCTCAAAAGAGACAGAAAATTGCTTAAATTTAACCAAGGACTACAACTCTGACAGATACCGAATTTTAAAAAGGTACTTACATAATCTAGTTTGTGATATACTCAAATAATATTACAAAGTATACGGTACATACTTGATTGTATGCGGATAAATTTAGTTTTAACATGGTTTACTTTCCCTTACTGACAGTTAGCGGCATACTAGTATAAACCTTTGCAATTTTTCGGGTCTGCTTGAAATCAAGCAGTTGTTGGCTACGTAAATCGTCCATGTACTGTGATACAAATGTGTGTATGGCAAAGCAGAAAAGAGTTTCGAGGCATTAATGGTTATTTATTTTTAAACCTGTTTTCCTACTGTAGACATACTATACTTGATATAGCACCTTGCGAAAGTGGTGAATGGGATTGTAAAGTTTTTGTACAGGATATTATGTTATCACCACATATTGGATTGTTTGCCTAATTACACGATCCTACTGTTTGAATAAATATTATGTTTGATTCAAAATTTCAGATAGTGTTTCTTTAATGCTATTCTCTAGCTAAAGTGATTGACCTGATATCAACTGAAAAAAGTGAATAACTTAAGTCTAATTAATTTTATGGCACTAAGGGGGGGGGGGGGGGCAGAATTCAAAGCGCAAATTTTATGTTTCTCTTGTTCCTCCATTTCTTTTTCTTTTTGTTACTGCAGGCAAGAAACCGGGGCAAAAAACTATATATGCGTCATAAGCCCAATGAAAATTCATCCTTCTTTCCGATAAGAAACCCAGGTGAAGACCCATACGCACAAATCCTGAGCGTTTAACATGTCACGTAGTTTCTTTATATTTGTATATAAGCACAATTGCTAACCTCCTTCTGGACGATGTGGCAGGAGGGGCCTGCAATAGTTATTGCGCAACAACGTTAAACAAAATTAAGTATCATGAAACGCTGATTCTACTCAACAGTATTATGCGCGTATCTTCGCCTCAGACGAAACTCTACGCTCATCTTGACAAAAGGCGCGCGACGCATCTTCAGTGTTGCAGACGCTACAAAAAAGTGACAAAGTACGTTAGTCCATAGTTCCCAAAAAAGAAATAGGAACGCTTCCCCGACCTATGATACCCCTAAATAAAAGGAACGTGTTGCAGTAACCGTTACAAATAAAAAAATGAAAGAGGTTTACAATTCTCTGTAATGCCGAACCAGAGCGCAGCTCTTGAGGAGGAGAGCAGGGTATGGAGAGGAGGGTACGCCCTTCCTCCCCCTCCCTCCTCCTCTCCTACTTTCCACCCATTTAGCAGGAAATTTGCGTTAAATTTCCCGTTAAATTTAGCGGTAACATTTCTCCGCTAAATTTAGCGGGAAATTATTCTGCCAAATTTAGCGGGGAAACTTTTCTGCTAAATTTACCGGGGACATTTCCCCGTTCATTTTTAGCGGGGAATGTTCCCGCCAAATTTAGCGGGAAAAATTCTCTTCTAAATCTACTGGAGAAATTTCTCCGTTATATTTAGCGAAGAAATATTTCCGCTAAATTTGGCGCGGAAATTTTGTTTTATAATGCAACGCTCGGTTGCGCCCGGTTGCATTATTCCCATAATGTAATGTGCGAGGTCACGCCGGCGCCGACGCTTCTTTATCCGAAAACGGGCGCCAAAGAGCTGCTCTCTAAAATTAATGCAGCTTGGTTTTTTCGCATAGAGTTATTATAATGTACGCTAGAGGTTCAACTGGCGCTAGTGTCTATGCGACTTCCGTGACGCAAATTGAAGCAGACAGCAACCAGTCTACATTTGCGGTGCTCCTGTGCATTGCTATGGGAAAACGCGCGTGCATTTTGTCTCTTTTCCGGAAAACAACACTGAACGCTTTGGTTATTTGGGTCGTACCGAAAAGTATGTACCTTGATTAACATTCTAAAAGTGTAATTGCTTTAGTTAGCGCACTTTCCTTCATCGGTGAGCGATGTTTAACTTCGCTACATTTCAGTCCGAAACATGTATTCTGCAATAGGTGTGTAAAAACAAGCGACGATTCAAAGCAAAATAACAACCGAAAGGAATATAGAGTAGTGTTCAAGGTTCGCCTGCATCCCGGTGACGCTTATATATTGCTAATAAGCCAGTCCTCTCATATATGAAAATGACCTCTTTGTGCATGAGCGGATAAAGCCATTCAAAACGTTAACAATAAAGTACGTGAGCCGTGAAAAGTGTCTCTTAATATTGTTTTATCTGCCGGGCACCTTTAAGCCTGCATGCAGATACTTGTTCTCAAAGATTTCGAGCGTGCGGGTGATATTTTAAACGTAGAACAAGCATCTTCGTGCAGAGCAGAAAGAACAAAGTGGTATGCTTACTTAAAATCGGAATATATTACGTGGCCTTTAATTTATTTTGATCATGCATGCACTGGTAGTTACTGATCCAGTGTTACTGAGTAGTTCTTGCCGTCTCTCTTGGTTTTCCAGACGTCCTTCGTTCGTTTGGCACGTATATCCCTTGTTCGCGCTAACAGTGTCCGACAGTGCACATAAATACACGTACGAAGCCGTTTTAGCACAGTTTTTAATGCAATAAATTTGAAAGAAAAACACAGTAACTGACCAATTATTTCATCTGCGTGACTGAGAAATGTTCTGATGTGCCTAGTACGCACGAATTATTTGTGATATTTGATCTTATAAACGAGCGCAAAGAGAAAATGCACTCGTTTTTTTCCATAGAAATGCATTACCGGAAGTCAATTTCGGACTGGTTGCTGTCTGCTTCAATTTGCGTCAACACACTAGCGCCACTTGAACCTCTAGCGTACATTATAATAACTCTATGGTTTTGCGTACCATTTTATTTATGAATCGAAGCTCTTCTGAGTAAAATGTTTAAAAAATTATCCAATCCTTCTTTTTCTTTTTTTCTAAGCTTCCGCTTGAATATTTTCGAAAAATAACGTGCCTAAAACACGAAAAACATTGAAGTGCAGTTTCTTTCAAATCTTGGGAAGCAAAAATGCAGCGATTAACCCAAGTACGCTACCCGCTACTCGAGATAAGCTACTTAAGATAAGATATCCGTTCCTGCTTTCAAAAACCTAACTTGTAGGTTCCTACGTTACACAAAGTAACAGCCAATAGCGCATATATTACATTCGTTGTCAGGCACGTAGCAAGGATTTTGATTTGGCAGGGGGGGGGGGGGGGGAGCAAAACGGAAAAGGGGGGGGACACAATGCCCGCTCCCCCCTTTCCCTGAACACGTGCCTGTTTCTCGAGTCGGGCTGCTTTCAGAAGTAGAAAGGGGTAAACGAAGCATAATTATCCTCCACGCACATAAGAAAAAAACAAAAAAACATTTGCACTAAGCCCCACTATTTAGCTTTGGCATCCGTTTCACCGGCGACTATGATAGATCTCTTTTAATTGCGTAGCTCCTTCCCTTGGGAAATCCGGAGCGTTCGGCGCGCTTTCACCTAGCCGATTCCCCCGTCCATTGGAAAATGTGTGTGTGTGTGTGGATGGGGGAGGGGGGGGGGGGGAAGGGGGGGACCCCAAGCTACAGCGTGAACAACAAAAGCGATAGTAAAACCTTGATCGCAGACTATATTCAAAGATTAGGTGCGTGTCAAGTTAGGCGCATATACCTTCATTAGAATATTATGTCACGTGCTTCTCTGTTTATATGGCATTACAAATTTCAGAGGCGCAGCTCTAGCGCGGCAAAACTTGTTTTGATACTTTCTCGGCCTTAGGCTCCTACGTTTAACGTCCTGCAACGATGTAATCTCGATACAAACTGTCACGCACAAAAAACCTCAACGACTCCTTTTTATACTTATTTTGACCTTTACCTTTTCATATATCTGGGTAGGTGCAAGAGCAAGGTTGCCCTTTTTTTGGAGCTATCGATTTTTATGGAAAGTGTGTCAACTCGAAAACAGACAGTATTAAAACCCTTGCGAAGTACACTCACTTTGCGAAATTTGGTTTGTGTACGTAAAGCGTGCTTGCAATGAATAGTCAGCTTCTCCGAGTAAGGGCCCAATTCAGTTCTGAGGCTCTGACATTTTCCGTCTTAAGGCGACCCGACTTAAGGCATGACACGTCAAGCACACAAAAAATGAGAGCATTATTCTTAATAAAAAGTTGAAAGAGGTTGTTAGTGTTAAGATAGCGAAGGCTGTGGAATGTCAGCGCAACAACTCAGGGAGCAGGTCGCAAAACCCAGAGTGACAAGAAGGGAGTCCAAGAAGTGGTCCCTCTCCGTCACCCACGGCAACAGGCACACCTACTTTTGCTTCAGATGAAATTCTTGATGACAGAGCGCTTGTATAACTTTTCGCACAGGCGCAGCTCGTAAAACGTAACCAAATGACATGCGTGCGTTGAGGCAGTTATAACTCATGAAAGCAAAACCTTCGTGCCAAGTTCGAAACAATTCGTGACCAGGTATTATCGACATCGAGTTATAGCTAAGAGTAATTCGCGGTAAATTACTGCAGCAAAAACAAAAACAAACGCATGGAAAAGCGGGCGTCAATGCTCGATGAGGTGCGTAGGAGTCAGCAGAGTAATTTTTTGTGGTAAAAACTGTCGCGTAAAGCATTTTTATTAATCACAAACACGGTAACTGCTTCGATTCAACGATTTTACTGCACGATTTGTTTTCTCAAATATTACCATAACATTTTTAACGTACAGGGTGGTACAAGGAGACGCCAGGCTCTTTAAATCGACCGGAAAATTCGGTTCCTTAACCTATCGCGCTACTACTTTGTGCAGCGTTGCCCACAGATGGTGCATTTTGTTTTTTTAATTTGTAAAGAGCGAACTTACCAGAGGAAAAAGTAAAGGAAGAAAAAGGCTTAGCTCCTATGGAAAGGCAGCGACGCCACCGGTCTGCAAACAACACGGCGCCGTTTCACACGGGAGACAAGAGATGGCGCAACAAACGCCGCCAACGAACGAGCATACGGCGCCGAGAGCAGGACTTTTTAGCAGACGACATTTTCGACTCAAAACCGGCGCGCGTTTCGCAGGCGGCGACAGTCGCAGAAACAAAAAAGACAGGCGCGGTAACAGCAAGGAACTGCAGTTTCTTATTTTTTTAGACCACCTGAGACTGGGTGGAAGAAACACGACGACGTCTCAATTGAGACGTCGTCGTGTTTCTTCCACCCAGTTTAGGTGGTCTAAAAAAATGGGAAACTTACACCAGCTCGCCTGCGCCCTAACTGTTTTTGCAGTTTCTTGTCTGCTAAAGGGCCGGCTCTCGGCGTCGTCTGCTCGTTCGTTGGCGGCAGTAGGCGTCGCGACCGCTTGCGCCATCTCTTGTCTCCCGTGCGAAACGGCGCCGTGTTGTTTGCAGACCGGTGGCGTCGCTGCGTTACCATAGGAGCTAAGCCTTTTTCTTTCTTTACTTTTTCCTCGTGTAAATTCGCTCTTTGCAAATTTTACAAAAAAAAAAAAAAATGCACCATCTGTGGGCAACGCTGCACAAAGTCGTAGCGCGATAGGTTAAG